GAAAACGAAAACAAAAGACATGTTAGTTTTTGTTTTTGTACTACCGCTACCACCTTATATGAATTCGCCTTGGAAAGATCGCAACACGTTTCCGCCACCCGAACAACTGCAAAGGCACCTCCTCGAATTGAATAGCACATCAAAGCCTGATGATGTAAATCACGACAAAGTGCAGACCAACCTCAGCACATTTTGCTCGCAGGTCTCCCACCGTGTAGAATTACCGCTAGACGCGATACAGCCTGACTCAGCTCAGGTCGGACTATTGCAGCGATCTCTACGGGTAGCGCTTACACGACACCACCCAACTCGTTCACCCTTAAGATTTCTGGCTCTCCGATTATTACAAAAATGGCAACAAGTGATGGGATTCTGTGGACCAGATTCCTGCTCGTACTACAACAATGATTACTTCAATTAAATTTTCCATTTTGCGCAAACCGAAATGAAGTTAATTCCGAAATCTGCTTTTTCGCCCCATCTGGCAACCTTAATGTTCTATAAAAATCAGCTGTGAATTTGGCAGTTCATAACCAAAAAATATACAAGTGCACGCGAATTGCTTCGCTCTAAGTTTTATAAAACTTCCATGCAACTTTAATGAAAAGTAGAAAATAACAGTGTGAAATTTAAAAGCATAAACATAAAAATCGCAGTTTTGAAATGGTGGAAGCGGGGCAAAATGTTTCAATCGATAATCTAGACAAGGATCAAATGAAAACGGTAAGTTTGCATAATCGCTGCTCTATTCGCAAGGAGTATTACTAATAAACAAATTTAAATATTGTAACTAGCGCAGTTTTCTGATTTTCTGATGTCTTACAATAAACTATCGGAAATGTGTTTCACAGATTGTGTTCGCGACTTTACTTCGCGTGTGGTCAAAGACAATGAGGTAACTAGCTGAATTTTCCGACTGTCTGGATACTGTTTGTTTACTTTTTATAATTTAAAATTTCTTCTCAAATCGTTTTTGTATAGGAGCGCTGTGCACTTAACTGCATGGAGAAGTACCTGAAAATGAATCAACGCATTTCACAGCGTTTCCAAGAGTTTCAAATGATTGCCAATGAAAACGCAATAGCGATGGCGCAAAAGACTGGGAAACTTTAACGCAATCCAATATGCACCTTTTGATCGATACTAAGCACAGATGAACACTTACATATATTAAACCATGTACGTTCGAATGCATTTCCGCACACATTTAAAAGTATATAAATTCACCGACTTTATAGGTATACACCAAATTGGGCAAGTGCCCAGACGCTGGCAAAATAGCAGATTAGCTTAAACAACAGTTGTTGCAACAGGGTGTCAGACCACTTGCTCAATTTAGGGGATATCACTAGTGTTTTCTAAAAGTGGGACTCGTCACCATGTTTCGAGTTTCCTCATGTTACTTCCTACTACAAAAAATTAAATAAATACAAAATTTTTACGATCAGTGTTTTCCTGTGGAGACAGGGCCTTAGCGCTCGATATATCCAGAATGATGCTCAATTTTATATTTCCTCTTTTCAGCTCCGCGTTAGGATAAAATGAAAAAAATAAAAATATCATTTTGCATCAATCAATACGCCGGTAAAAATCATTGGAAGCACTACCTTCAGTTGCTTCAACTATCAGTACTTCTTTATAGTTCTAAAAGATGAACGATTCATATACCATCTCGTTAACTCTAGCCTTTTATCCAAACATGTATTTAATAAAAAAAAAACTTGGTTGTTGAGTCGTACGCCGAATTTCACTGCCCTGATAAGAGGGCATATGCTTTTTAAACTGCTTATTTGGCATTTTTATTTTGATATATTTTCGTATAATTGATAAATGATTTAAATTACTATTCAAAAACTTAAAATGCGTAGTAGATACATATGTATGTAGATGAATGGTTAAATATTTCTTATATATTATGATGATGCAAGGACGCAGACGAAAAGTTACTCGATTTTACCATCGGTAAAACATTCCATAAGCAATTTTTGATACGCATTTACGTCCTTAGAATAAAAAATAGATATTGCGATTTTTAACGTAGTGTAGCCAAGTGACAAATTACTAACTTAATGCAAATGCAACTTTTGGTAATTGTTGAATACTAACGAAGAAGACTAATAACTATGAATGCAAATAATTCTATTAGGGTCTGTCGAGTTTTCAGTGTTCTCGGATTTGACATGTTGTGATAAATTAATGAAAATTCTACACAAATTAATTTAGTTTAATGAACTGTACCGCTTTCACCCTGAAAACCCTCTGTCTCGTTAATTAGTGCGTACTCTAGAATCACACGCCCTTCCTTATATCTGCAATGAAATTTAATCTGTTATGTTGAGGCACTTTATTATCATTAAATTAATTTTTTGGTTTTGGCTTACTTTTGTGCATCTTCGGTGGCGTATTCATACATCCAACCCAATTTGGCATCACAACTTTTGCACATTACATCTCTTACCATATGCCTACCTGTAAGCATAACCCTCTCTTGCACACTGCTAAAGGTCAGGTTAACTACTCGTTTGAAAAGATAAGCACGACCTGTGAATATACGAACCAGGAGAACAAAAACAATGCAGAAAGTGATAAGCAATCAATGCAATAAATCTACTATCAATAAATATGCTTGACTCACCCGTTGCACCAGTAAACCGCGTGCTAATCAATTGACTGCGATTGGTAAGATTAGTTTGGCAACTTGCACAATTGAACAGTTTTGAGCCGCCAATATGCTCGAGGAAAACGCGGCCCATATTTAGTATATGTTAGAAATGTTTTTTGTTTTATTTTTATGACGTAGTACTAGTTGGTTTTAATTTTTATGCACACACAACCAGACAAAATATTTTCAAGTTTTTTTAGTGCTACTTGAGTTTCTCACACACTATAGTGTTAATATGCTCTATAGAGGTTTTGTTTAGAGCTGTCTGGGAATATAGAATTTGGTTTCCATATTAGGTAATAAAGAAAACATGCAATGAAACAGCAAAATTATATTCTTTGTTAACAATTTCGTGTTCTTTTGCACTCTTTCAATTTGTTCCTTTTGCTGTACTCTATTTTTTTGACTGTTTGCTTTACAATATATCGCGGAATATAATATTTTTACTACGCTTCAATTATATTTCCAACTTTTGCAATCGTCTTATTCCCTTTGTGTCGAAATTTTCAAGTGCAATTTCAATTTATTTTGACTTTTTCCTCTGATCTTTTCTTGACAATCAATGAACTGTAAATATTCTTGAAGTTGGCTGAAGTTTAATACAGTGCTGCCAGGCGAAGTATATAGTGTTAATTAACAGCTTTCCCAAAATCCTCTCGTTTCGGCGGTTCGTTGGATTGTTAAATAAACGCCCACGATGACCAAATTACAGTCCAATTAACTTTATTGTACAACATGAACGAAAGACACAAGATCACGCGGGACGGAAAGAACGAAAAAAGTTATTTTCTAGCTGCCGAAATCTCGACGCCATCTTTGCTGTAAGAAGTAAACAACGAAGAGAACGGAGAAAACCGCGAAATTGTTGAACGCATGAAAAATCATTTTTATTATACAAATTCTTCTAAAAATCATGCCGTTGTGTTAAATTATTCTTTATCTTATGTGTACACACGTTGTCACAAGCGAAAATGAATAAAATTGCAGTAAAAAGCCACCACCAAATTGTAAACAACGAAGAAATGTAAATAAACGGCTAATGTCAAAATCGTTCAACTTTTTTCCTTAATGCGATTCTAACGGGCTATTCTCCTGCCCGCGTGAACTTGTCTTTTTGGTTCATGATTGTACAATCAACTCTATTGTAAAACAAACACTTAACAACACTTGTTTATGCAATAACAACAATTAATAATAATTGTTAAGGCAATTAAAGCACCGCTAATGTGCGCTGCGCTTTATTGTGAGCCTTACGAACAAAGGTTAAAAATGGACGAACAGTAAATAACAATTGACGAGCTATTGCAATTATAATTAACCCAAAATATTCTGTTGGAGGTGCTAGATATAGGAATTACGTAAAGTAAAAATTAAAAAAATAAATATTACTGTGTGGCTAACGAAAAACATTAAAAATGGACGAACAGTAAAGAACAATTGACAAACTCTCGATTGCAATATAGAAATCTTAATATTTATACTAATGAAGTGCTAACGTTGGTTGGGTCACTTTTAAGGGACGCTCTGGAAATTTTTTTTAATATTCGTGTTTTGATGTTCTTACAAATTAATTACATATGAGATTTCAAATTTTTTTCATGCTTATAATCGTGGTTATTATGTACCATACAGATAACTAGACCATTTTGTTTGCTATTACAAAAACGGTACCGAAAAAAACTTTACAGAGTTTATCTGAGTGCAACCCTGCATGTTTACAACGTCATTTCCACTTTGACAACTAACCGTGCACATCAAACTTCACCTTTCACGCTTTCTTTCCGGTTTTGGATTTTGTCAAGTGTGCTTGTTCTCGATTTCGAGCTAAGGCCAATTATTAAATAAATATCTAATTTTTGGCGACTTGCATCAATAATAATTGTTTAATACTTCTTAACCATGTCTACAAAAGCTGAACTTGCTTGCGTCTACGCTGCTCTCATCCTGGTTGATGATGATGTTGCTGTTACTGTAAGTTGTCTTTGTTCTGCCAAGTGCACAAGAAATATGGCAGAATTTATCCAAAAATACTTCCATAATCTTTAAACAAATAGCACAATTTCTTGTTTCCGCACTAGTGGCGATATATTAAACTGTTACCTATGCTAATTTTTTGAACTTTTAATGTTGCATTTAGTTGCATTTAGGTGACGAATTTTGTATGGATAAATGTACATTTAGAGTAGCATTTAGAGCTAAATGCGCTAAATGTGCTTTTACGCGTAAGCAAAAACAGCCCATAAAGCGCAGCGCACATTAGCGGTGCTTTAATTGCCTTACCGCAGAACTCCACAGGCAAACACCGATGGCCTACCAACTGTCATTTTGACGAGCAATGTGATTGCAAGTTTTTGTGTGTGGGCACTTTGATGTCTTGAAATAAGCATTTGCCGCATGACGCCACCAGACAACATTCTCTCAATTTCGGTGTTTAAAAACATTTAAATCTTTAAAAAACTTGCTGAATAATTTCCTAAAACGTAATAATAAATAATCCAATAAGGAACAGACTTTTATTTTGATTTAATATAAAAATTTCATCGATGTTACCACCAGCACGCTTTCTTTCAAATGAAAATATGGCTGTCAAACTATCGAATTGCCTGCAATAGATGTCAAGCAATAAGCGCTGACATATATTGCAGCACATGAGAAATAGGCGGTCTCCATTGGAAATATATTTTGTGACATAGTTTTCACGACATCAGTGTTTTCCTGTGGAGACAGGGCCTTAACAATTATTATTAATTGTTGTTATTGCATAAACAAGTGTTGTTAATTGTTTGTTTTACAATAAAGTTGATTGTACAATAAAGTTAATTGGACTGTAATTTGGTCATCGTGGGCGTTTATTTAACAATCCAACGAACCGCCGAAACGAGAGGATTTTGGGAAATCTGTTAATTAACACTATATACTTCGCCTGGCAGCACTGTATTAAACTACAGCCAACTTCAAGAATATTTACAGTTCATTGATTGTCAAGAAAAGATCAGAGGGAAAAGTCAAAATAAATTGAAATTGCACTTGAAAATTTCGACACAAAGGGAATAAGACGATTGCAAAAGTTGGAAATATAATTGAAGCGTAGTAAAAATATTATATTCCGCGATATATTGTAAAGCAAACAGTCAAAAAAATAGAGTACAGCAAAAGGAACAAATTGAAAGAGTGCAAAAGAACACGAAATTGTTAACAAAGAATATAATTTTGCTGTTTCATTGCATGTTTTCTTTATTACCTAATATGGAAACCAAATTCTATATTCCCAGACAGCTCTAAACAAAACCTCTATAGAGCATATTAACACTATAGTGTGTGAGAAACTCAAGTAGCACTAAAAAAAACTTGAAAATATTTTGTCTGGTTGTGTGTGCATAAAAATTAAAACCAACTAGTACTACGTCATAAAAATAAAACAAAAAACATTTCTAACATATACTAAATATGGGCCGCGTTTTCCTCGAGCATATTGGCGGCTCAAAACTGTTCAATTGTGCAAGTTGCCAAACTAATCTTACCAATCGCAGTCAATTGATTAGCACGCGGTTTACTGGTGCAACGGGTGAGTCAAGCATATTTATTGATAGTAGATTTATTGCATTGATTGCTTATCACTTTCTGCATTGTTTTTGTTCTCTTGGTTCGTATATTCACAGGTCGTGCTTATCTTTTCAAACGAGTAGTTAACCTGACCTTTAGCAGTGTGCAAGAGAGGGTTATGCTTACAGGTAGGCATATGGTAAGAGATGTAATGTGCAAAAGTTGTGATGCCAAATTGGGTTGGATGTATGAATACGCCACCGAAGATGCACAAAAGTAAGCCAAAACCAAAAAATTAATTTAATGATAATAAAGTGCCTCAACATAACAGATTAAATTTTCATTGCAGATACAAGGAAGGGCGTGTGATTCTAGAGTACGCACTAATTAACGAGACAGAGGGTTTTCAGGGTGAAAGCGGTACAGTTCATTAAACTAAATTAATTTGTGTAGAATTTTCATTAATTTATCACAACATGTTAAATCCGAGAACACTGAAAACTCGACAGACCCTAATAGAATTATTTGCATTCTTAGTTATTAGTCTTCTTCGTTAGTATTCAACAATTACCAAAAGTTGCATTTGCATTAAGTTAGTAATTTAATTGTCACTTGGCTACACTACGTTAAAAATCGCAATATCTATTTTTTATTCTAAGGACGTAAATGCGTATCAAAAATTGCTTATGGAATGTTTTACCGATGGTAAAATCGAGTAACTTTTCGTCTGCGTCCTTGCATCATCATAATATATAAGAAATATTTAACCATTCATCTACATACATATGTATCTACTACGCATTTTAAGTTTTTGAATAGTAATTTAAATCATTTATCAATTATACGAAAATATATCAAAATAAAAATGCCAAATAAGCAGTTTAAAAAGCATATGCCCTCTTATCAGGGCAGTGAAATTCGGCGTACGACTCAACAACCAAGTTTTTTTTTATTAAATACATGTTTGGATAAAAGGCTAGAGTTAACGAGATGGTATATGAATCGTTCATCTTTTAGAACTATAAAGAAGTACTGATAGTTGAAGCAACTGATGGTAGTGCTTCCAATGATTTTTACCGGCGTATTGATTGATGCAAAATGATATTTTTATTTTTTTCATTTTATCCTAACGCGGAGCTGAAAAGAGGAAATATAAAATTGAGCATCATTCTGGATATATCGAGCGCTAAGGCCCTGTCTCCACAGGAAAACACTGATCGTAAAAGTTTTGTATTTATTTAATTTTTTGTAGTAGGAAGTAACATGAGGAAACTCGAAACATGGTGACGAGTCCCACTTTTAGAAAACACTAGTGATATCCCCTAAATTGAGCAAGTGGTCTGACACCCTGTTGCAACAACTGTTGTTTAAGCTAATCTGCTATTTTGCCAGCGTCTGGGCACTTGCTCAATTTGGTGTATACCTATAAAGTCGGTGAATTTATATACTTTTAAATGTGTGCGGAAATGCATTCGAACGTACATGATTTAATATATGTAAGTGTTCATCTGTGCTTAGTATCGATCAAAAGGTGCATATTGGAATGCGTTAAAGTTTCCCAGTCTTTTGCGCCATCGCTATTGCGTTTTCATTGGCAATCATTTGAAACTCTTGGAAACGCTGTGAAATGCGTTGTTCATTTTCAGGTACTTCTCCATGCAGTTAAGTGCACAGCGCTCCTATACAAAAACGATTTGAGAAGAAATTTTAAATTATAAAAAGTAAACAAACAGTATCCAGACAGTCGGAAAATTCAGCTAGTTACCTCATTGTCTTTGACCACACGCGAAGTAAAGTCGCGAACACAATCTGTGAAACACATTTCCGATAGTTTATTGTAAGACATCAGAAAATCAGAAAACTGCGCTAGTTACAATATTTAAATTTGTTTATTAGTAATACTCCTTGCGAATAGAGCAGCGATTATGCAAACTTACCGTTTTCATTTGATCCTTGTCTAGATTATCGATTGAAACATTTTGCCCCGCTTCCACCATTTCAAAACTGCGATTTTTATGTTTATGCTTTTAAATTTCACACTGTTATTTTCTACTTTTCATTAAAGTTGCATGGAAGTTTTATAAAACTTAGAGCGAAGCAATTCGCGTGCACTTGTATATTTTTTGGTTATGAACTGCCAAATTCACAGCTGATTTTTATAGAACATTAAGGTTGCCAGATGGGGCGAAAAAGCAGATTTCGGAATTAACTTCATTTCGGTTTGCGCAAAATGGAAAATTTAATTGAAGTAATCATTGTTGTAGTACGAGCAGGAATCTGGTCCACAGAATCCCATCACTTGTTGCCATTTTTGTAATAATCGGAGAGCCAGAAATCTTAAGGGTGAACGAGTTGGGTGGGTATGCAAAGAGCTGGTTGGTGTCGTGTAAGCGCTACCCGTAGAAATCGCTGCAATAGTCCGACCTGAGCTGAGCCAGGCTGTATCGCGTCTAGCGGTAATTCTACACGGTGGGAGACCTGCGAGCAAAATGTGCTGAGGTTGGTTTGCACTTTGTCGTGATTTATATCGTCAGGCTTTGGTGTGCTACTCAATTCGAGGAGGTGCCTTTGCAGTTATTCGGGTGGCGGAAACGTGTTGCGATCTTTCCGCTCTAGTACAGGGTGACGATTAACAACTGTTAACCAGGTTTTTTGAAAAATAAAAAGGGTTCTTTATAGATTTTGCGAAAAAAATATTTTATTGTTAATTTTCCACAGAGTTTACTTTAATTTCATTAAGTAGATTTTAAATGTTTACCTTTGTTTGCGCAGTAAACACTTTGAGAGAAAAGCGCAAGCGGCACGCAAGTCTTCGTCAGTTAATTAATTCCATATTTTCTATAACCATAAGCTAATTTCCTCCCTTTTGAGTTCTTTATACTCCCCCTTTTGTCCAACATAAGTGCTCATACTCAAAAACCGAATAGACTCGGAACTGGTGGCTACGGGATTTCAGCACTGCAACAAGGGCGTAGGAAGTTGCTCGTCCATTATCGAGTGGTGCGCACTCCTGAACATACCCTAAAGTGGCACCAGTCAAGACAGGTGATGCAGAAACGTTCATAGAGCATCACATGAATTTCTGCATAAAAAAAAAAAAATGGGAAAAACGCCGCTTATATATTTTTAGCGGGTAGGGCTCGATTTGATTGGTGTCACATTACGATATATTCTGGACTGACACACCGAGCAGAAGAGCTGTTGGTTTGTCCTTGTTCGTGGGTTGCGGTAGCGTGTAGGTGGGCTTTGGTTGTGTGTGTGTGCTATGCCCCCCTGCGTCTGTGTTATGTGGGAGGGTAGTCGTGTTGGGATTGCGTTGCGTAGGTGAACTCCGGTGAGCCGTGGAAGTAACCTGCGTGTTTGATGGGACCGGTACGTGGCGTGTGTTGTGCGTCACTGAGGCAGCCGTGTTATTTGTTCAGTTAGAACAGCACGGGTCCACAAAGGAACTGGTTCATTGCCTTTGAGTGTTAAGACCTAAGAAGTGGAGTTTGGGAGTAATCGTTTGACTTACGCAGCAGGTGTAGTTTCTGGCCAAGGGTTTGACTCGATAGCAGCCCTGTGCAGAAAAATGAGGAGCATGTAGTTGTAGTGGCCCCATGGACGAAAAACATATAAGGGATTTCGCCGACCTAAACAGGATTAGATCGCCGAAACGACAGCCCTTGGTCGGGATAAAACCCTCGAGTCATTCCAGTACGTAGAGAACCGGTTGTCGTGGGAATGATGGGGGTTTAGTCTCCTGGTTCGTCTCGACTAAGATGTTGTTTTACCTTACGAAATCAGTTTGAAGCAGCAAACGATGCAGCGTGAATACTTTAAAGCCTTTTGCAGTTAAACTTTGCCTGCACGCATGTCAAGTCTGCGACTTTCTTCAACGCCGGCGCGAACAAGAAATGTTAGCTCTTTCTTTTGTTAGGTACGTCTTCTTCGTTTTGCAGTATTTGCGGTGCTCAATAGGTAGATGAATTGTTCTGGCTTGTTTTTGCTGGCAGGTAGAAGTCTGTGATTTTTACCTCCTTTGATTTTGTAGTTAGGGTATTCCCTTCCATGTCTATCCTTAATATTTTGTTGTTATTTTTCTTTTCGTACAGTAGTTTTAGAGGTTCAAACAGTACGTCCGATACCGTATTTGTTTGCTCATTTATTTTTTGTCCTTTGAAAGTCTTCTGTTTATATATTTCTACATGTTCGAATATATTCAATCGTTGTCATTTATGTTGTACAAGGAGAAGTTCTGCTGTTTGTCCAATCTTCATTGGTGCGCGTTTATTTTGTATCATGCGATTTGCGAATTATAATCTCTTATATGTTCTCAATACCTTGTTCTTATATTTCGTCTTGTTTGTCCTATGTAGCTGTATCCACATTCGCAGGATAACTTGTAAACGCCCTGTTTATCTAGCGGGTCTTCCTCGCTTTTTTTCTCTTTCAATATTCTTCCCACAGTGTTCCTTGTTTTAAATGATGTCTGATGAATGTCGTGCTTATGAAAGAATTTGGCAAGTTTATATGATGTCTTACCCGTGTAAGTTAGAACTGCCCGAGCTTTTTTATTGTTTTCCTCTTTGCTTGTCTTTTTCGATTTTGTGTCATTTCTTAACTTTCCAACCAGGCCTCTCTTATATCCGTTATTTTCCGCAATGTCATATATTGTATCCAGTTCCTGTAGTTTTCAAGCCTCGTTATAAGTTGTCTAAGTGCTGCATTTTTGTGTTGTTGTGGATGGTTCGCTGCTGCTGGTTTTTCTGTATATTTCGAACCCTACTTTGCTCGTGGTATTGTTTATTTTAATTGTTAAATCCAGATAGTTAATCTTTCTTTCCTCTGTTCTTTGTTGAGATAGTTCGACTATCTGCTTCTCTTCGTTTCCCTCTATTAGACATACTACATCATCGACAGTCTCGCGTAGGATTTTACTCCTAGGATGGCCGATAGGTTTTCCATATATTTCTCCTCTAGTATTTGCGTGGGTACTTCCATGAGTATTGCTGACGTCGGATTGTCCATTCCTAACCCGTTCGTCTGTTTATATATCTTATTATTGAACCGGAAGTAGTTCTGTTTTAATGTAACCTTTAATGCGTTTACTATTTCCGTAGAAGCTTCTCTTTTCGTTTTTCCAATCAGGATTTCTTGTAGGGTCTTATAGTAATATAGTTAATAATAGGTCTCATGTTGTTGTTGTAGCAGCATGCAAATTTCCCAGAGTTTTTGGGGAGTGTTGCTGGAGTGACAGTCCTTGGCCAAATATAAATCTGGGTCGTTCCGGTTACGTAGACCCGACTGTCGTGGGAACGTGATAGGTCTCATCGAAGTGCCTGGTTTTTGTATCTTCGGCAAGGCACTCAACGGAACATAAAGAATATATATATATTTTTTTTAAATAAACAATCTTATTTATTTACTTTTAATTGCAATTTTAATGCCAAATTTTAAACACAAAATAAATATATTTATGTATATATTGTATGTATGTTTTATTCCAAAAATGTTTGTTTTGTGATTTATATGAATCTAGTTTTCTCGAATTTTCGCTCTTCTAAATACTAGTTATGTGTGAATGTTTTAGTACAATCAGTTTTATTTTTTTTATATTTTTTATATTATAGCTGGTAAATTAAAAACATATTAAATTTCCGTTAACATTTTGTAGCCTAAATTGTTACGCCTATCGCAGACCTCATTCATTTTACCCACTTTAGTTCATTTTGCGTTTTTTGCGTTTTTTTCATTTTTTTCTTTCCTTTTTTGTTTTGCATAACATGAAAAACTTCGCTCGATTTTTGCACACACATACAACATTACATATATATGCTTCAGTTGCGCAGCATAATTTAAACCACAAAAAAAAAAACGAATGTTTC